GCCTGTAGTCCCAGCTACTCGGGAGGCTGAGGCAAGAGAATCACCTAAGCCCAAGAGCTGGAGGTTGCTGTGAGCTGTGATGCTACAGAACTCTACCAAGGGTGATGGAATGAGACTTTGTCTCTAAAAAAAAAAACAAAAAAGTTGCTAAACATCATTTGCCATCAGGCAAATCAAAACCGCAATGAGATACCATTTCTCATCCACTAGGCTGCCTATAATAAGAAAGATAAATAATAATGAGTGTTATAGGTTCAGTGCCTGTAGCTCAAGCAGCTAAGGTGCCAGCCACATACACCAGAGGTGGCGGGTTCGAATCTAGCCCAGGCCTGCCAAACAACAATGACAACTACAACCAAAAAATACCCAGGCATTGTGGCAGGTGCCTGTAGTCCCATCTACTTGGGAGGCTGAGGCAAGAGAGTCACTTAAGCCCAGGAGTTGGAGGTTGCTGTGAGCTGTGATGCCACAGCACACTACCCAGGGCTATAGCTAGAGGCTCTGTCTCAAATAATAATACTGATAATGAGTGTTGTATGTGGGAAAACTGGCACTCTCATGCATTGCTGGTGGGAATATAAAATGACGCAGCCACTCTGCAAAACGGTCTAGTAGTTCCTCAAAATGTGAAATATGGAGTTGTCATATGACCCAGCAATTCCACTCCTAGGTACATACCTAAGAGAAGCAAAAACACACGTACACTCAGAACTTGTACACGAACGTTCACAGCAGCATTATTTATCACAGCCAAACAGTGGAAATAACCTACATGCCCATCAGCTAATAAACAGATAACCCATACAATGGAATATTATTCAGCTATAAAAAGGAATGAAATACTGATATATGCTGTGACAGGAATGAGCCTTGATAACATTATGCTAAGTGATAGATGTCATGTGATACGTAACTCCCTTTATATCACTTGTGTTGTGTCTAAATAGACAAGTCGAGGCAGGCTCCAGATGTGGGCTGGAGGGAAGGAGAAACGGGATCAGCTGCCACTGGGTACAGGGTTTCTTCTTGGGATAAAGAAAATGTTCAGGAATTAGATGATGATAATTATACAACTTTGGTGAGGATAAAATGACTTTGCAACCAGGCACAATAGCTCACACCTCTAATCCTAGCACTCAGGGAGGCCAAGGCAGGTGGATTGCCTGAGCTCACAGGTTCTAGACCAGCCTGAGCCAGAGTGAGATCTCATCTCTAAAAATAGCCAGGCATGTGGTGGGCGCCCATAAGTCCCAGGTACTTGGGAGGCTGAGGCAAGAGAATTGCTTGAGCCCAAGAGTTTGAGGATGCTGTGAGCTATGACACCATGGCACTCTACCAAGAGTGACAAAGTGAGATTCTGTCTCCAAAATAAATAAATAAATAACTTTGCAAATATGCTAAAGATATGAAATAATTTTATATATGAATTATTTCTCAATAAAAAGGATAATTACCTTGACATACAGTTTATTAAAATAATCCAGTCTAAAAAGACGGTAACAAAATATCTATCTCATGTTGCCAAAATAAAAAAGGTTTGAAGGGATAGAGGATGGGGTTGCAAAAGGTAATCTCTATCTAGATCTTTCAACGTGGATTTTCACTGCCATCACTACCCAGGATCTGTTCCCTGACCAGGGAGACTAGGGAAGTTAGTTAATCCATGAGTTGTTTCCTGAGGCTCTGTTTTCAATAGAGAATAGCAGTGCCTGTTAATCAATATGGGAGTATGGACTAGACTAATGACCAAGGTGTATTTCTCCCCCAGCTCCCAGTGGAAGGTCTGTATATCGAATGGATGAATGAGGAAAAAGTGCATTAGTCATTCATTCATTCACCCACTCATCAAGCATGTGTGTGTCTCTGTGACAGAGACAAGACAATGCTGGGTGCCAACCATACAGGAGGAAACAAAACACCCGGCCAGGGGGTGCACACAGTCCTGCAAGGGAGATTAACAATAATCAAGGAAACAACTCCAGAGCGAGGAACTGTGAAACGTACCATGGAGTGATCCAGGAGAAGCCATGAGGCAGGGTAGCAAGGGACCTGTGTTAGGTGGAGGACAGCCCGTAGAAGTGACCTTCTAGCTGAGGTCTGGAGGCTGAGGAAGAGCATGCAAGGGGCGGGGGTCTAGCAGACGAAGGAACAGGGACTAGCCCCGAGGTTGGGAGGGCATGTTCAAGGACAGGTAACAGCCAGGTGGAAGGAAAGAAGTCCGAGATGATACTGAACAGGTGGGTGGGGCCCAACCCAGTGGCCTTGTGACTACAGTATAGATTTTAGATCCTATTCTGAGATTAGAAGTTCATTCATTTGCACACCATTTTCGTGATTGTCACAGCCAAGTTGCTCTTCAGTCACCCAGGAAGATATCAAATTGGTTAACAAGGCCAGTGGGGAATCCAGGGCTCTTCTACCTTCCCATTCTGCCTTCCTGAACGTGCCCTCATGCTCATCACCTCAGGACCACAAGATGGTTGCTGTGGCTCCAGGCTTCATATCAGCTTTCTTGGTTGGAAACAAGGGAAAGAACAGCTCTGGTCACATCTGTACTAAACTCCGATCTAACAGGCTAACTGTCTGAACTGAGACTGGATTCTTTTGGGAAACACCAGACCCCAAGCTAGATTGTAAAGGATGAGGAGGCATTCACAGAGCCATGTTGAACAGAAAGGCCCTGGCCTCTGGACCTTTCCCAATTGGAGAACTTGAGGCAACTTGGGATCAGCCATTGAGCCTCCTGCTTCATGGGCTCCCACACTGTCAGTACGAGACAAGTCCTCAGACTCTTCCCCTGACCACTGAGCAGAGGCCACGGGAGGGGCAAGGAGTGGCCTGAGGTCCCACAGCAGGTGAGGACAGTGCTCTTTCCCACATACTATCCCCCCCAGTCACCCCACTTCCCTCTAATTTTCCCAGACTCATTTTTCATTTTATCAGGTTCTCCGGATCCAGGGAAGGAAACTCCATTCTGATTTAGCATGTTCCTGAGAAAACCAAGAAGGCAAGTCCACAGTAGCTGCCATCGTTGTCCTCATCAACATCATTGTCATCATCGTAATATTCCCCAAAGTCCTAAAGAGAGGACTCTGCTCTCTTGGATTTCCTGTGCCACACCGGCTGTGGACGGCCAGCTTCTAATTTTCTGTGGCATGATTTAGTTAAAGTCTGTCTCCCCTGCAGTAAGCAGCTGGAATCTCAGACCTGTAACAATATTCACTCGTTTGTTCCTTCCACTTCCTGAGAGACTGCTAGGACCGGGTGGAGAAGAGCCTGGGACTCCACAACAGACAGACTAGGTTCAAATCCCAGCCCAAGCTCTTACAAGCTGAGTGACATCAAATTGGCATTTGCCGCTACTTTGCGCTCAGTTTTCTCATCAGTGAAATGGGGATGGTAACAGCACCTACCTGGAAGATTTGGTAGCATGATTCAAAGAGATTGTGCATGTGAAGTGCTACAGGGTGTCCAGGAGGCTCAGCAGTTGTTATGAGTAAACATTTACTGAGCAGGAGGCAAGTCAGCTGGTTGTCCCTTAACCCTCCTATCCACTCTCCCCTTCTCCTACAGTAAGAGAGTTCCCAACATCTGCCTGGGAAAAGATAGCTTACATTTTCCATAATAAACTACATCTCCAGATTCCTTTGTAGCCTGGCATGGCCATGTGAGATGTGAGGTCACTTCCAGGCTGTGTCCTTCAGGGGAAGAGCAGGCCTTTTCTCGCCTCCTTCGTACCTCCTGCTGCTTGGAATGCAAAGGTACGGCTGGCGCTCTACCTTGGACCATGAAAATGAGGGCCTTGCCCAAGGGACAACGGAGGGGAAAGATGGAAGCAGATGGGTCCCACATTTCTGTGGAGCCCTCTGACCACCTCTGAACTTCCTACATATGGGCTTCAGTGGGACAGATACAAACTAACTCTTAGCCTATTGAAACCGCTCTTATTTTGGGTCTTTGTTGCATGCATGCAAACCTTAGCCCTAACTCATATTAGCACCTACTGTGTGCCAGGTATTGGTGTTGTATGCTGGTTTGTCTCAATCAGCATGGCCAGAGCCCAGCATAAAAGAAGAAATGTAGGCCATCAGGTCAAGCAACTTATACTAGGTCATAGAACTAGTAAGCAAGTGGATTCAAGCCAGCAGGTCTGTGTGGTTGCATTCCTCATTCCTACTGAAAACCACCGGGCACAAAATGAACTGGGTTTGAATCTCTGCATTTATGCATTGTATGACCTTAAGCAACTGGCTTTCTAACTCAGCACAGTGATATCCTAGCGGTTGGTAGTAAAGCTTAAATAACACAGAGATGGCATCAGTAATGCACCTGATACATTGTGGGTATTAATAAACGTCACAGTCACTTTGGGACAAGTCCCACTGGCCTCCTAGGGGACCTGAATAAAAAATGAAGGGAGACAAGGACCTGTAAGACACCAGGAAGGAGGGAGGTTGGGGCCTGGGGGCATCTTACTCCTTCACTTCCACCCATCCTGGCCTGTGGCGAAGGACGTCCATGAGAGTGTTCATAAGGGTGGTCTTGAACCGGATTGACGCTCTCTGCTCTCTGCAAGATAAGCCAACAGAACACTTGCTCAGGATCAATGATTTCCTCCAGGGATTAAAAAACAAGGGGCAGAAGAAAAGTCAAGTTCCATACCTAGAAATGTCAAAAGCAGAATTACTGAATCTCAAAATTCAGCACTATAGCATGATAGCATTTAAAATAATCAAATACAGAATTTTGAATCCGTATCAGTGAATAGCAATCTCCCAGCGCTATGATATGCCGAGCATGATCTGGTTGCTTTGCATGGGCTGTGACTAATCCTTATATGAAATGGTAAGTATTTGCAAATCCCTTTTCTTGGCATTCATCTGGGAAGAAGGAGCAGATGTGCTTTTTCCTATGCCTCCTACTAATACAACTAAAAACCCAAGACATTATATATAAACAAATATAAAAAGACTGAAAAGGGAAGGAAGAAGGTGGACAGGGACCTCAGGAGCGGAGGACATGGTGGTGAATTCCCTGGGTTTTCTTTCCTGCCAAGATAGGAAAAGAAAATGTCACTAACCCAGAAATGCCCTTGGGCTCAGACAAGAAAAGCTCCAACAAAACCCTGCTTTCTCCAACCAAAGGAACCAGAAAGGAGCAACCTGGCAAGACAGAAGACTTAAGACAATCTGCTCTACTCCAGCCAAATCCCACAGAAAACATCTGTGGCCCGCTTCTATTTATGCCACCACAGGCTGAGTAGGGGTGGTGGTCTAGACTTCCACTGAGGTCATTAACAAGGCACCCCCAAATCTGGCAATGTGATGTCACTGGTGTGGTGTTAGGGAAAACCAAAGACAGAGAGAGCCTTGGCTTGCATCCCTCCCGCCAGGCGGTAATGAGGCTCCACCCCTGCTGGGTGTGTGGAGGCCACAGGTGGAGCCTGGCCTGCCTCCCCTACTGCCAGGAAGGAGGTCTCCCTCTCACTCTGGGGTGAGGTCAAAGAAGGCCTAGCAGAAAGGTGGAAATCAATAAAATCAAAATCAGAAAAGCAAGACAGAAAATCAGGCTAGTTTCTGGAAGGATCGATAAAATTGACAAACTTATTTGTCAGCGAGACTGACAAAGAAGAGAGAAGACACAATTACCAATACGAAGAATGAAACAGGGGACACTACTAAAAGCCCTGCATAAAAAAAAAAAAAAAAAAAAAAAAAAACTTTAAATAATGAAGAATAGTTAAAAATTAATGTACTTTGAAGAAGTGCAAAGTGAAACAAAAATAATTGTCTGTAATTTCACCATTTAAGAGAGAATTGTTGTTGATAAATTTTGCTGTTGGAATTTCCAGATTGTTTTGGTATCTATACTTCTAGACATTAAAAAACAGAACACAGCTTAGGGTGCTTGCAGAAGGCAATTGAGGCCTATCTGGTTGGCCTTTTTGAAGACACCAACCTGTGTGCTATCCTTGCCAAACGTGTAACATTATGCCCAAAGACATCCAGCTAGCATGCCACATATGTGGAGAACGTGCTTAGGAGTCTGCTATGATGGGAAACATTTCATTATCAAAAAAAAAAGAATTCTCTTCTTCTTGTTATTGGTAGTTCTGAATGTTAGATTTTTTTCCCCCCCATGGGGTAAAAAGATACTTAAGTACATGATTGCAATTGGAAAATCAGAGGCCAGAAATCAGGTGTTGGCAGCTTTTCCATTTTCATTTGTGTGTGTGAATTTTTAACAGAAATGTGCGACATGCAGCCTTAATGCGAGTCAAAATGTTACAGTTAACAAGTTACAGCAGTTCAACATTCTAACAATTATAAATAAACCTGTTAAATTTTTCTGGACAAAAATAAATAAATAAATAGAAGCCCCGCAGATGTCAAAACAATAAGAAGGGAAACTATGAACAACTCTACACATCTGATTGGACAGCTTAGAAAAGCACAATTACCATAACTCACCCAACATAACAATTTCAATAGCTCTGTAACCTTTTTTTTTTTTTTTTTTAGCAGTTTTTAGCCGGGCCCAGGTTTGAACCCACCACGTCCAGTATGTGGGGTCGGCACCTTGAGCCGCAGAAGCCTTCCTAGCTCTGTAACTATTAAGGAAATTGAACTCATAGTTCAGAAACTCTCAAGAAAGAGGTCTCCACCCAGAGAGTTTCACAGAATTCTCCCCACTAAAAAAAAATTGGGAGGGGGGGACATAGCCTCACTTTGTCACCTTGGATAGAGTGCTATGGTGTCATAACTCACAATCTCTTGGGCTCAAATGATCCTCTTGCCTCAGCCTCTGGAGTAGCTGGAATACAGGCACCTGCCACAACACTCATCCATTTCTAGAGATGTGGATCTCCCTCTGGTTCAGGCTGGTCTTGAACTCATGAGCTCAGGAAAATCCACCCACCTTGGACTCCCAGAGTGCTAGGATTACAGGGTGAGCCACCTTGCGCCCAGCCTCCCAAATGTTTAAAGAAGAATTAACATGAATTCTGTGCAATCTCTTCCAGAAAATAGGAGGGAGAACTTCTAAATTCATTTTGTGAATCTACTACTAACCTGATATCAAAACGAGACAAAAACAGTAAATGCCAAAAAAGTATAGGTCAATTATCTCTAATGAAGATAGATGCAAAAATCCTTCACAAAATATTAGCAAATAGAATTCTGCGATATATAAAAGGAATTACACACCATAACCAAGTAGAATTTATTCCAGTAGGCAAGGCTGGTTCGCTGTTAGAAAACCGATCAATGTAATCCAACTCATTAACAAACTGAGAAATAAAAATCACATGATCACAATCAACTGGTACAGAAAAGCATCTGACAAAATTTAACACTCAGTCATGATAGAAAGCAAAAACTCTCAGAAATTTCCTCAACTTGACAGAAGCATCTAAAACAACTCTCCCATTATAATTAATGGTGTGTGAAAGTTGTCAGATTCGGAATGGTGTCACTTGTGGCAAAATAGAGAGCTGGAGAAGGCCATGAAGGGAGGCCTCTCACACACGATTTGCCTGATAACAGGAAGGATCACAAAAAGTCTTCCCAGCTGTAGCTTACTACGTGAGTCACACAAGGACTGCAGCATAAGCAGCACAAGGACAGCTAGCTGCTTATGCAAGAACCCCTGCCTGACTCACTGTTCTCATAGATCTAATCCCAAACCATAAGGGACTAACTGTAATCACAAGTCCACACTCACCAATCAAAACTGCCAGTGTCAATGAAATTTGGTAAACCTCCTCAATGAAACCTCCTTTCCTCAATGAAACCCTAACGTTTTCCTTTGTTCTCCGACATACCAGGCCACCCGGGTCTGTCTGTACATCCTAGATTGCAGTCTTACTTTTTGTATGTCACTCCCAAATAAAACCTTTTTCCATAGAGATTTGTCTCTCTGTATTTTTTGTGTTGACAGGTAAAAGACTGAATGCTTTCCCCTTAACATCAAAAAGAAAGCAAGGGTTTCCACTTACCCTCTCACTCAATCTAATACTTGAAGTTTCAACCAGTACAAGGAAAGGAATTAAAAAGGGATTCAAATCGGAAAGGGAGAAAGAACACTGTCCATTTTTGTAGATGACTGTGTAAAAGATCCCGAGAATCTAAGCAACTACTGAACTAACAGATGATTTGAGTACAACCACAGGATACGAGACAAAGAGACAAAAATCGATTGTATTTCTGTATACAATCAATGAACGCTTAAACTAAAAATACAGTGCGATTTATAATCATTCACAAAGAGAAATTCTTAGGTATAAATCAAATAAAACACGTACAGAACTTGCATGCTGAACACTACAAAAATGCTGATGATGAGAGAAGTCAGAGAAGATCTAAGTAAACTGAGAAGTCTACCATGTTAAAAAATGGATTGGAAGACTCAACCGAGTAGAGATGTCAACTCTCTTCAAATTGATACGCAGATGTAATCCAGTTCCTACCAAAATCTCAGCAAGATTATTTTATAGATACAGATCAGCCTAAAATGTATATGGAAAGGCAAAGGAACTGGAATATGTAAAATAATTTTGAAAAAGAAGAATAAACCAGTCTAGCCAATTTCTAAATACATTATGCAGCTACTAAGCTATTTGGTCTTGGCCATGGGATAGATAGATAGATTTTGTTCATCAATGGAACAGAATAAAGAACCAAGAAATAGTCCCACATAAATATGCCCAACTGGATTTTGACAAAAGAACAAAATCAATTCAGTGAAGGAAGTATTTATCACCTTTTCAATAAATGGTGCTGGAACAACTGGATAAGCACAGGCAAAATAATGAGCTTAGGCCTAAACCGTACACTAAAATTAACTCAAAACAAACAACAAACTTAAATGTAAGATGTAAAACTATTAGGGAAAAGCATAGAAGAAAACCTTTAGGATCTAGGGCTAGACAAAGAGATTTTAGATTGGACACCACAAGCATAAAAGAAAAACTTGATAAATTTGACTTCTTCAAAGTTAAAAACTTATTCTCTGTGAAAGACCCTATTAAGCCAATGAAAAGACAACCCTATAGACTGGGAGAAAATATTTGCAAACCACATATTTGACAAAGGACTACTATCTAAAATATAGAAAGAACTCTTAAAACATTACATTTGAAAAATCCAACTGGAAAATGGGCAAAAGACGTAAACAGATATTTCACGAACCAAAGAGGATACGTAGGTGGTGACTAATGAGTCTACAGAAAGAGGTTCAACGTCATTGGTCATTAAGGAAATACAAATCAAACCCACCATGATATATTACTACACAATCGTTAGAAAGGCGGAAATAAAAAATTATGACAATCCCAAGTACGGGCAAGGAGGCAGAGAAATTGAAGCACTCATACATTGTTGGTGGGAATTTAAGATAATACAGCCAGTTTGGACAATAACTCGGCAGTTTCTTTAAAAATCAAGTATGCAGCTACCATACAACCCAGCAATTGTACTCCTGGGCATTTATTCCAGTGAAATGAAAACTGACACTCCCATAAAAACCTGTACAT